TTGGTGCTGGCGCCTTTTGTTTTCTCGCCAATGTCGGGTCTGTCGATTCTGGGGCCTGTGGTGCTGTCCCCGTCTATTTTCAGTGTTCTACTGCTTGACGTCTCTGTGCTCGGTCCATACGTGTTGAGTCCAGCGTTCTTTTTGCCCTTCATTGTGTCGCCGTATCTACTCTCACCCTACGTTCTCTCGCCAATCTTTGGCGCACCGTTCATCCTCAATCCGTACGTTCTCTCACCGAACGTCATCAACCCGTATGTGTTGAGTCCACTGATTCTGAGTCCCTATGTACTCTGCCCGGACGTCTATTCGCCACAAGCCTTAGGTGGTGCTATCCTGTCGCCAAGCGCTTGGTCGCCTGCGTTCATGACCGAATCGTTGCTGATGGCTTCGGTGCTTTCGCCAACGTTCATGTCGTGACATTTGACCCTTAACTACCTAAATACGCTGTAATATACGCTCAATTGTTTGAATCGTACTGTTAATAATGATCATTATGAAAATTTTTACGCACGCGTACATNATATACGCTCAATTGTTTGAATCGTACTGTTAATAATGATCATTATGAAAATTTTTACGCACGCGTACATATCGCCAAGGGAATTGATTCACAAAATACAACGAAAACATTTCATAAAAGTAAATTATAGCCATGCAAATGAAAACACAACATACAATATTTGTGTGCACATATCTATGTATATATGTAGGTATATAAGACATTCAACCCATACAAATACAAATAAATATGGTAAATGCTATTGGGTTGTTAAGAAAGTTCTTGAGGGGCACGGTTACTCTGCCAATGAGCGTGGTAATTTGTAGGGTGGAGAACGTTTGCCAATGGGCGTGGTGATTTGCAGGGTGGCGAAAGTTTGCCAATGAGCGTGGTAATTTGTAAGGTGGGGAAAGTTTGCCAATAGGCGTGGTAATTTGTAGGGTGGGGAAAGTTTGCCAATAGGCGTGGTGATTTGCAGGGTGGGGAAAGTTTGCCAATAGGTGTGGTGATTTGCAGGGTGGGGAGAACAAGCCAGTGGATGTGGCTGAGTGGTCAGTC